TCCCGAGTGATTTTTCAGGTGGATATACACCTGAGCTAATGAAGGACTTGGATGAAGCGCAAGATTCTTAAATTGACCATCATTACGCTCATGGAAGAAGTGCGTTGGAGATGACTTGTCAGGAAGTGAAGTATGTATGTAAGGTTTTTATTTTTGGGTACAAATTTGGTTTTGGATTGGTTGAAATTCATGACCGGCATGTTTTAAGTATTTCTTTCTACATGATTTAGTGGTATTCCTAGTCAGAGAACTAGGGGAAGGTACAACAAATGGATGATTATCAAACTTAGAGTATGGTTTCGAAAGTTTAGACTGATGGGTTCCTGGTTCTAGGAATTATATTGACGGAATTCATTTGTGGTTGTGGTTTTGAGAGTTTTTTATTTGAGTGGTTCTCACTAGAAGTTGGGTCTTCAGTTAGGGAGAGAAAGATAGTTGTTACGGTAGAGTATTTTTATTTTTTTGGGTTGTTTTTTTGGCAGCTATGGGTTTCCGAGTAGTCTCTCGAGTTTTATTTATAAGATTCATTAATTTCAAAGTGACTAGAGGAAGCTTATGGAATTTTTTGGCTTTGTTTTCATATATCCTTACCAAGACGGATTTCGAGGACGAAATCCAGTTTAAGTGGGGGAGAGTTGTAACATCCTGTTTTGACAAGTTTCTTATTTTGGGATTGTGGACAATAAATAGATTAAGTAAAGGCCTTGGGCTTCAAGGGAATGGGGTTTAGACCTTACTGGATGATGATAATGTTGGATAAGCAATTAAAGCCTTGATTTATGTCTTGGAGTCAAAGGGTAAAATGGGAAAAGTGATGTTTCAGACTTCTTTTACGAATTAAATATTTAGTTCAATGTGTTTTACGTAAAAAGTAATTAGATAGGGTTGTGGGGGTCATCAATACCTTTCCGTGCATATAAAGAACGCCGAAAACGAAGTTGAAAGGAAGAAGTTATAACTGTTTGAAGTTGGAGTGATATTGGGTGAAAACCCGTTCTCACAACGAGAGAAGTAATTCTCATGACCTGAAAGTACTCACGAGGTGAGAATATATTCTCACGACACGAGAACTATGCAGCCTAAGCCCATGAAATTTTTAGGGTTTTCAAGGTATTTAAAGGTAAGGATTCATGTTTTAGGGTATTTTCTTTGCCTCCATCCTATCTACAACCTCTTGGGAGAAACCCTAGCCTCTATTTTCAATATTTGAGCCTCCCATCTCCTCTCTCATCCATGTTTAGAGTTTTTGGTGGTTTTGGAGCAATGTTTTCATGCAAGATTGATCCTTGAAGCTTGGAAATTGAAGATCTCAACTTTTACCTACCTTCTAGAGCTTTTTAAGTTATAAAGTTCGAAGTTTTATTGTATCTTATCTTTGGATGTAAGTGTATTTGGTGTTTGGTCCATTTTAATGAGTTTTGAGTGAGAGTTGGGAATAAAGTTTGCAACTTTATTACTCTTCAAGGTCCAAAGAACATTATACGTTTCAAATCTAGACTCCAACACGTTTTGATCAGTTTAGCATGTTTTCTTGGACCTGATGGACTAGGAAAGTTTTGATCGTTTTCCTTCCCTTAAAACCAGCAGGTGATTTTGGTCATTTAGGTCATTTTGGTGTACTAAAGTTTAGATCTTGATAGCTTGAGACATTATTATGGATAAAGTTGGAAACTTTATCCATCTAAACATCATGTTGATTCAGATCTGAAGGTTGGAGACTTAGACTTAATGGATTAAGTTAAAAAAGACGCACTTTTGGGTCCCTTTGAGACTTAAAATCTAGATCTTGGTGGTTTGGACCCTCCTAATAGATAATTCTAGAAAATTTATCCACTAAGACCTTGGAACAGATCAGATCTGAGATTTGGAGCTCTTGAAATCAAAAGAAAACAGATTAAGCTCGTTTGAGTTGTTCAGACCACTCCCCACGGCGTGGCCTTAAGGTGCCATGACGTGGCGACTGGGGATTAGCGACTGTTTTGGCTTTTGTGCCCACGACATGGCCAAGGAATGCCAGAACGTGGAGGGTTGCTGATTAGCAATTTTGACTTTGAGTTTGACCATTGACTTTTTTGACTAATTTAACTTTTGGTCAAACATGAGTAGAATTGAGCATTTGGTTAAGGATTAGTTTTAGTTTGGCATTAGGAAGCTTGGGTTGGATATTTTGTTGTTGAGGTAGCTGTTGGGCTTCTGTTGAATAGTTCAGGTGAGTCTTTTCACTATACTCGTGGGTCGAAGGCACCAATGTCGGCCTACTGGATTATGTTTGTAGGATAATAGTGGTCTTTGTGACACTTGCTGATATGCATGTATATGCTTGTTGTTTTTGTGACTCCTACATGTGTATGGATGTTATATATATATATATATATATATATATATATATATATATATATATATATATATATATATATATATATATCATTATGGGCGGGGCATATTATGATGTGGGTGGGGCCCTCGGCGAGGCCCGTATGCGATTTAGGTGGGGCTCGTATGTAGTTTGGGTGGGGATCATTTATATGTGTGTAGTATGTGGTATTTTGGGGAGCTCACTAAGCTTTGTGCTTATGGTTTATGTTTAAAACATTTTTTGGTACTACTTTTTTTAAAAGGGAAGGTCCGTCTTGATCGCACTATATCCACTGGAGATTTATTCCGCATTGACTATTTATGATTTTACTCTAATTTTTTAGAATAATTTTATTATGATCGACTTTTGGGATAATGAATGAATGACTTTGACTTATTTAAAATGAAAATTTTTACTCGGTATTTTTTGCGCTTTACATAATACGGCAAGAACCCTAGTAGACATTCAAGAGTATAAACTCATACGACGAGTGGGGAAGGAGGATATTACATTTGGAGGTAATGAAAGGTCCAAAAATTTTAAAGCACAAGATGAAGTATTTTTCATGGACGAGGTAAATGAAGAAGATAATGATCTTGAAGAATTGGAAAAATTAATGGAGGAGGAGTTGCGAGTTTGGGAGAAGCCAAAACCACAAGAAGATGTCCAACTTACCAAGCTTAGAGCATTAACTCCTAACTCCTATAGTCTTTGAAGTTTTTGCCTTTACCACATAGCAAGCTTAAGACAGGGAGGAAAGTGAAGATGGAGAACATGGTCAAAGTGATGAGGAAGAGGAGCAACAAGATAACTATGAAATCTCACTTGACAATATGGAAGTAGATAAAAAGAAGAACAAGGTGGCTGAAAAATCTCAAGGAATTAAGCGCAAACAAGAATGAAATAAAAACCGAAGGAAGAAGGACAACTCAAAGAAATTGCGGCTTACAATCGGAAACGACTCGAGATAAAGGATAAGAGGGAGATTTCGCTCCCAAACAGCACAATGCAGAACGGGAAGGAGTCCGGCTCATGTCTCCATCAAAAGAAGCACTTCTCGGGAGGCAAACCGAATTTGGTTAGCATTTTTCTTCCCTTTTATTTTTAGTTTTATTGTTTTGTTTTCGTTTTTACTTCTTATGATTAATCATTCGTTCGTCTTCTGTTTTAAATCAAGTGTGGGATCTAATGAGTGAGTGGTGAAATTTTTGAAAAAGAATTTTTTTTTTTTTTTGGTCTTAAACAGTACCCACGACGTGACCCTTATTTGGCCACAATGTGGGGGATATAAGAACTTCAAGTTACCTTTTTACCTGAGATGGAGCTAGAAATTTGTTGTTTTCGTGAGTTAATCCGTTTAATTGAAGCCCTAAACACCTTTGATCCCTAATCTCACAATGTGGGGAGATTTCTTGTTGGAATCGTCGCAGAAAATGGGGCAAGAAGGAACAGAAGGCGTTTTGATCGAACACAGGAAGCAAAAGAGCAGAATGCGTCGTTTTTTTTCTTTTTATCCGCGCACGCCTTTAGCGACGACGCTTTTAGCGGCGACAATAGAGGCTTTACCAGCGACAATGGTTAACAGCGGCGACTATCTGGAGGGAAGGGTACCACGTCTTTTTTTATACCACTATTAGCGGCGACTTTTTCGACCTTTAGCGGCGACAAAATGTCGTCGGTATTGGTTTTGTGCGGATAAGAGCACCCCAGCCGTTGGATTAGATGCTCGATCGAACGACTGAGGTCTATCAGAAGGGGATAACGCGGATTCGGGTGAAGAGCCTTTAGCGGCGACACAATTACCGGCGACACACGCTTTTAGCGGCGACTCTACCATTTGTTGCCGCTAAAAGCTTGTGTCGCAGTTAATTGTGTCGCCGCTAAAGTCATGGTTTCTTATAGTGATAGTCGGGAATTGGCGAGAGGTTGTATCTAACGCAAAAGCGTTATCGGGTTTGCGATTTCTATAGTTTGAAGGTGTATTTTGGTTGGGATCCATGGTTTTTGGTTGTGAAGATGTAGTGTGTAGTTTGTGTATAGAGAAAGAAAAGAATGGTGTAAGAAATAAGGAGTAAAAACGTGGTATTTATAGGTAAATAAATTGATTAATTTTTTGTTTAATTTTTTTTTTAAATAAACTAGCCGTTGAACGGCTATAAGCATTTGGTCGAAGTGGGTTGCGATCTTATTGGGCGTTTGCATTCGTTATTCCGAACACGAGCCATCACGAAAACGACCGACCACGAAACAACGGGTGGTGTGCACGGCCGTTGTTCGTGGCCAGCTCAACCACGACCGGCCTCGTTGTATGTATACCACACGGCCTTACGACGACAGCTATCGTCGTTATATGTCTCGTCGCTATAGCCCCGGGACAGGGGCGGACCTAAGGGGGTCCACGGTGGCACCGGCAACCCCTGACTTTTCCGGCCGCAACCCCTGGGTTTCCCGTGCAACCCCTACTGTGAAATCCTACGTCCGCCCCTGGTAGCGGAGTAGTTGGAATTGCATAATAAATGGAAGGCAAGTCTATAGGAGATCCTAAGAATACATGATAATTCATTCAATAATTTTAAGTTGCTTTATTGCATCCTTAATTTTAGTATTTGCTATGAGATCATCCGAATACTCTTAGCCTTGAATCATAAGAAAACAAGTTACAACCGGTAGCCAATCCATAAAACGGGAGAAAATTTTTGAATCAAAGTGAAAGTCTTAGCTCCAGATCTAATTCTTGGCTGTCATTTGAATCGGAATTCTGACTGCTTGACCCCATTGAATCGTTTTGATCTTTCCTTTTCTGTCTCCTCATTGAATCCTTTACCTATGATACACACAGAATAAAAAAAAAGGTTATAATCTTGATTTTAAATTCTACCGTTCACTAAAAAGTAAAATGTGGGGTGATGTAGATGGTAGATAGTATAAACTTGCCTCAGTTAATTCTGGGTTTAGAAGGTGCCTGTTTATGCCTGCAGGTTGTGCATAGTGTTGAGCTTCTAAAATGGCATGGCTTGCGTCCCATCTAATTTATAACGTTGTAAATTTAACTAGGATCACTTAATAAATCATACTTTTTGAATTAAATCAATACAAATTTAATTTTAATCAATGATTAAACATAGTAACAATCATAGATAACGTTCATAAATGAGGGAAATTACAAGGGGCTTACCGTGGGTTACTGCTAAGCTGTGTTTCACCATAGACAACATTCGTTCTTTCTAATTCGCCCATACCCATCTGCATCTTTAAAGATACAATCAATATCTAATATCTATTAGCTATTGATTTATTGTATCTTCAAAATATATGTATATATATATGTGTATAAATGTGAGATGAAATGAAATTTAGAGAATTTATGGAAGTGGTTAGAGACTAGAAGCTGTAGATATATACCATCTGGGATTGGTGTCCTTGGAAGGTATTGAAAGAAGCTGTTGATGGTGAAGTGTATGAAAATGAAGCTGACGATGAATATGCTGTTTGAAGTCCGATATCCTCCTGCAAACAAAAAAAAATGAAAAAGCAACAAGAGTTAGGATCATCAATGGAGTTTTGACTTCATAGTTAAACTGTTTTATTTCACTTTGAATTCCAAAGAAATTAATGGACGTCTTTGTGGAAATATAATGGAACTTAGATTTGGCTAAACTATAGTGTTTTCTTTTGTATTTTTAAAAGTTACGATGGTGAGTTTGCAACTAGAAATTAAATGACTGGTGAAAAAGTAATTAATAATGGAAATTGAGGTGAAAATGGGCAAAACAAATGCCAAATGGAGGGTTGGGTTCTTGACAACACAATTAGTCAACTCCAACTCACAAGTCGACGTATGCCATCGGAGCCTCGGAGGTACCCTTCGTATCCGCATTCAGGCTACCTGATGAAGAGCGTAATATAATTAAGTAACTCAGAGCCAACATTCTGATGTACTCATGATCTGATGATCAGTCCTGACAGGCTCAATTTCTCCAATGAAATCTCAAAAGCCAAACCTAATGTTTCAGCTGTGTGTATGTCTTTGTGTGTGTACGTGTGAGAGAGAGAGAGAGAGAGAGAGAGAGAGAGAGAGAGAGAGAGAGAGAGAGAGAGAGAGAGAGAGATCTCAAAAGCCAAACCTAATGTCTCAGCTGTGTGAATGTCTTTGTGTGTGTACGTGTGAGAGAGAGAGAGAGAGAGAGAGAGAGAGAGAGAGAGAGAGAGAGAGAGAGAGAGAGAGAGAGAGAGAGAGAGAGAGAGTCCTTTGATACTTAAAGTCGTACAGATTTTGAACCATGAGGTTAGAATGTTTGATCATGTCCAGTGATCAGGTTTCAATCACGTCATATGTATGAGTGAGAGTCATACGGAAAGAACTCCATTTGGCTATGGAACCCCGCGATATCTAAGGTCTTTTACAGACTTTGATATACCATGAGTTTTGATTACGGTTTAGTGAAGTCTTACTGGCATCTCAAGGCAAAACCTATATATGTGTGTCTTTTAAGTGTGTGTGTGTGTGTGTGTGAGAGAGAGAGAGAGAGAGAGAGAGAGAGAGAGACCTGTGCAAGAAAACCCATTTGGCTATGGAGTCTGATCTTTTCCAACTGAGCAACGCCAAGACCTCTCTGGGGTTGCTTCGGCTTATCTGAACCACTCTTTTTCCCTTTTCTTGAGGAAGACGATCCACCTGCAGATGACGATCTGTCATTTCCAGGTCCAGCTTCCCCAAAATAACTCATCTTTTTCTTCAAGATTTTTATACAAAATTAAATCAACCAATATCAATATTCCAATTACAATACGTAATTCAAGACCTTCTTATTCGTCTACGAATCTGATACGTGTATATTAGTTAAATATATAAGAGATCTCTTCAAACTTGGTCCCCTTTTTAAAGCTGTCAACTCTTTCAAATAAACCTCAGTGATTGTTGCATCGCTGGATCAGATTGCATTTAGATATAACTTGCAGTTTCTGACCCTCATCATTTCTATATATATTTGCTTAGATTTTATGGGTTTTCCACTTTCTTTTTTATATTACAAAGAAACTTATTTAAAAAATAATAATAATAGTTATGGAGGCGTTCGGGATAGAGGATCTTGTCGCCATAACAAGCATAAGTATGCGTAGAACCCATATTAAATGAGTATTAAAAATGATACGTGTGATTTTGATATATAGAATTTTTTTTATATTACTTCCAAAATACTTTTGCACATAAATTTATTCCTATTAATTATAGTTTAAATATATTTCATTTACTATATTATCTCTTACCTAAAATTAATAAGGTAAATATCGAGTAATTAACCATATTTTGTTTACGTGTCAACATCGAACTGTCAAGTCTAAAATATGTTCCCTTAATTTGTACCATTTTCATTTTGAGATTTAATAAAAGTGAGTGTTAATTTCCCTGGGTGCTATTATATGTATCTCCTTATTCATATAAATCGTCACATGAGGTACACAAACACTATTACACTCACATGAGGGGTACACTAATCATTTTGGAGATACATATAGATTTGTCCTTACACTACTACAAAAATGAGAAAAACCTACGAAAAATATCTACGGAAATTTTCTGTAGGTAATTACTGACGCAATTATAACGGAATACTTACGAAAAAGGATGCCCTTCATCGTCTGTTTTTTATCTTCGGCATTCTCGTTTGGGGCATGTGTCAGCGTCTCATTTATAGTTTTTGGTTTCCACTGGTGTGTTAGGTTCTTTGAAAACTAATGATATTTCTGATTGTTGGGGTTGCAAACTGAAAATATTTTCGGCTTTACCGTTTAATAAAAGTGTCACTTGTTCTGTTGCTCCCTTTGATATCATGCATTCTGATGTGTGGGGTCCATCACCGATCAACTCTAAATCAAGAGCTAACTATTATGTTTCATTCATTGATGATTACACTCGTTATACATGAGTTTATCTTATGAAGTACATGTCTGACTTTTTCACCATATATAGTGAATTTAGAGCTCTTGTCAAGACTCAAAATTTTGTTGTCATAAAATGTTTTCGGTGTGATTTGGGAGGAGAATTTACCTCCAACGATTTTAAACAATTATTGGCGTCTGATGGCACTGTGCATCAGTCATCTTGTGCAGACACTCCTCAACAGAATGGTGTTGTAGAAAGAAAACATCAACATCTACTAGAAACTGCAACATCCTTACTACTTTCTGCTCAAGTTCCCAATATGTTTTGGGGAGAAGCTGCCCATACACCCACTTATGTTATTAATCGCATTCCTACTACGTACACTTTGGGGAAGTATCCTTATGAAATATTGTTTGGACAACTTCTAGATTATTCTTCAGTACGAGTGTTTGGGTGTACCTATTTTGTCTTAAAGCCTCATGTAGAGAGAGATAAGTTATCTTGAAAATTATCTCTTTGTGTTTTTCTGGAATATGGTATTGATCAGAAAGGTTATCTGTGCTATGATCCATCAAATCAAAAACTGTATGTCTCTTGCAATGTCACTTTTTTGGAGCATATTTCGTTCTATAGCATTCATGTTCAGTCACATGATGCAACCTGATAGCATTTTCGTACTATTGATCCATTTAGCATTGACATTGATGATCCACCACATGTCACTGATCCACCACCTGCTGCTGATCCACCACTTGTCACTGATCCTCTGCATGCAGATCATAAAGTCCCCCCCTCCATCCAGGCCTTATCGTAATAAGAAGTCCACAAAGCTTCCTGACTTTGTCTATTCCTCTTACTCACCGTTGTTTGCCTCCTTTATTTCTAATGTACATCGTCGCTCTGAGCCAATGTGACATCCCCATTTTCACGACCATAAAAGACCGATTTTGTTTATGATTTATAAAAAAATCAGAGTACTTCTTTTAATAAAAATGTTGCGGAATTTGTTCTCAGAAAAACATGATAAATACGTTATCAAAGCATTTATGAAGAAATGTATTTTATTCATTTTAAAACATTAGGATGTCATCGTTAATATAGAAACATAAGCATAAACAGAACTTACATTCATTATCACTAGTGATCTACACCTCTTTAATCTCTCAGTGTAATGTAACTTCGTATCGGCACCTGTGATACAAATAAGCTTGAGTGGGTCAGGTTGGGAAACCTGGTGAGTACATAGGGTTTTCAACCCACAATAATATAATTATTATGTTTAAACATCAAATAATCAACCCAATTACCCATCCTCATTATCTTCTTTACTCTTAAGGATCTACCCTAAGAATCAACTATTCATCGTCCATTCATTCCTAAGGATCATCCTAAGGAATTGGCACGAAGTCCATCATCACCGGGGTTTAGGCACTAAGTCTGCATAGTCGTCAGAATTTATACAACATGCACTAAGTCCGCATAGTCGCCAGGGTTTAGGCACTAAGTCTGCATAGTCGCCAGGTTTTATACAACAGGCACTAAGTCTGCATAGTCGCCAGGATTTAGGCACTAAGTCCGCATAGTCGCCAAGGTTTAGGCACCAAGTCTGCATGATCGCCAAGGTTTAGGCACCAAGTCCGCATGGTCGCCAGGGTTTAGAGTACACCGGGTGAACACATCGTTCACAACACCTACAGGTTGCGAGCCTGCTAGTGTTCCACTAGACTGTCTAGAATAGTCCGTGGTTGTCATCCATACTCTACTAGATGACGGGGCCAACATTTGGGAACAAGGCTTCTCACATCGTCCACCTCTCACCCTTACCTCATGGTCTATATCACCTCTCAACTCATCATCCAACTCATATTTCATCTACCCATGTTTTACCCAACATATTATGAAGATATAAATACATATACAGTTTAAATCATATAAAACTTGTATAAAATCGTTAATCCAGCATAGATAGCAAGTATACAGATAATATGCACACATAGCACGTAGTTTATATAAAATACTTCATATCTATGTGTAAGATGAAAGTAACTATGCACTCACTTGATAAGGTAGTGACTCGGTACTCGGACAGCACTTCGTTATCTCAAAACAATTTTTCCCTTGACAAAACCTAGTATCAATACCACTAGGGTTTAGTCTAACGTTAACCGCGACTAATTAATAGTCTAACTATTATTACTATTATATAAGTGTTAAGCAACACTCTTATATAACTCATAATAATAGCCCAATTAATTATTTTAAGGTCCTAATAATGTTACTATAATTAATTAGAAGTTATATTAAAAATAGTGTAGGCGTAGCTCACTTACAGCGGGTTTTCTCGAAAACCGGGTTTCGCTTGGAGCAGCGTTTCCAAACAGAAAGACCCTTTTTCTCGGGACTCCGGGAGCCTCGGGGCTTCCTTCGGGTGCTAGGGGGTTTACCTAGGCTTTAGGGGGTTTAGGGGCTAGAGAGAGAAAGTAGAGAGAGAGAGAGAGAGAGAAAGCTTTGAAAGGTGTGAAAAATTGGCTGACCCTCGCAGCCTTTTTATAGGCGCTCAGCTCCTCGGAACGCTGGGCGTTCGGAAATGCTACGCGGGGCGTAGATCGGATAAGGTCGCCAGGTGGCAGGCTCCGGATGGTGCTAAGCGACCCTCTCTCGGACCACACAAGGCCGAAGTACGCTGGGCGTACTCGGTTTCGGACGCAAGGCGTAATGCGAGGTGACGTGTTGCAATCCGAAGCAGGTACCGAGGTCATCGATGGAAGGTCCAGATCGAGCCACATCATCATCTCGCACCAGGTTTCGTAATTTCCCTTTCCGACTTCTAAAAATCATAACTCTCGCATACGAGCTCAATTTTCGACGTTGTTTATATCCACGCGTAGGCGGGAATGTACTCTACAACTTTCGTTTAGACTCTGTCGGCTAATTTTGAATTTATTTTAAATGTTATATTTTTTAACAGGCCGGGACATGATTGTTCCGTTAAAAATTCATAACTCCTTCATCCGACGTCCGTTTTCGTCTGTCTTTACGCTACTATTAATGAGATCTTCGATTCTTGTTTAGGTTGTGTCGGTTAAAAACCGATCGATCTAATATTCGAACTTCGGGCTGTACATTGCTAAGCCGAAACTTCAAAAAATCATAACTTCCTCATACGAAGTCAGATTTGGGCGTTCTTTTTATGGACGATCTCTTTTTAACATATTCTATGACTTTCGTTTAGATCGCTAAGGTTAAAAGTCGCTCTATCGTAAATTCACTATTTACGCTTCCCGGTGCCGTGCTGGTTTTGCCGTAAAACTTCGACGGGCCATAACTTCTTCGTTATAACTCGGATTTCAGCGTTCTTTATATGTACGGAACCCTTGTAACATATACTACCACTTGGAAAAGATTAATGCTTCTAAATAATCTTCCATCAAAAACTCATTTTTGATGCTTATTGTCTCTAAATTGACTAGCTCGGATCTGCGGGCGTTACAGTTATCTCCCCCTTAGGATGATTACGTCCCGGAATCATCAACGAAACAGGGCAGTATAATGACACCATACGTTATCTCTTCATCCTAGGTAATACTCATAACTTCTATGTTTCTTCGAATGCGTATTTAACTCCTGATCTTCTTGACTGCAAGCGGTGCTTGATCTTGCACCCGTTCTCTATGTCTTGTTAGACTTTCGATCATGATCTTCATGTCACAACCTCGCTCTTTATCAGAGACTTCTTCTTCTTCTTAACAAACTTAAGTTAAGTTTATTTGATTTCCACGATAGACTGATGGGTCACGTCCTAATGAACTCTCATCGTATGATGCATTGCTTGAACTCGGGTCTTTTAGAGTCAAATTCCAGAACAGACCATACCTTCCTTCATGTTCTAATCATATCTTAAATGGTAGCATTTCTAGCTACAAGCAACTATCACGATACCCCTACCGATCGCTTTGATTATCTTTTATTTCAATCTTCCGGCTTAAGTCAGATGCTACGTCGAACTTGGTTCTCTGAACCATGTAACATACTAATCGTAGCCGGACTCAATTTGATATGACCACTAGGGTCG